TCCGGGCCCTCGCCCACCCTCAGGCACGACTCTGAGGCCACCTGCCTCGCCCACACCCGGGGGGCCCCCGGACGCAGGAACTAGTGCCTCCCCCCGGCCAGCCACGCCTGGGGGGGGCTCGGGGCAAACCCCAAGGCCAGGAACCACTCAGCCGACGCCCCCCGGTGCAGGAGCCACCACCTGCACCAGACCAGCCACGCCTGGGGGGGGCTCAGGGCAGACCCCAACGCCAGGAACCGCTCAGCCGACGCCCCCCGGACCCAGCGGGAGCTCCCTGCCCCCAGGTAGCAGCCAGGCCACTTGCCTGCTCGTCTCCCTCGTCCCCCTGGCCCAGTGCTGTGGGCGGTCCCGTGAAACACCATAGGCCAGGGCCCACCCAGACCAATCGGGCTGACCATGCAGTCCCAGGGAGGGGTCTGCTCTCTCTGACAGAGGGCGACAGGTCCGGAGCCGCAGTGAGGGGAACTGAGGAAGATGTGTGGAGGGCAGGGCAGAGGCCAGAGGTGGGGTCCAGTGAACCCCGCAACTCCCAGGGCCGTTCACGCCACAGGCCCCTGTGCCTCTCCCGGCCCTCCCTGTGGCCTCAGGCCCCTGCCCGCCCCTGGAGCTGGCAGCACAGACCCCACCCCCGTGGGTCCTTTCAGCAGCCTGGCCTCCGGCCCCACTGGGTCACACAGCTCCCCACGGGGGGTCAGAAGAGCTCGCAACCCAGACCCTCAGCTGGAGAGAGTGGCCCAGGCCCGGAGGGCTTCCGGGCCACGGATGGGTTGGCACCGGGAACATCTGGGCTTCCCTGGAAGTCGCCCCTGCCCTCCCTGAGCCACGATTCTGGGGGGTCCTGTGGAACGCTGCAGGAAAAGGCTCACCCAGGCGGGCCTGGCCCGCGGCGCTGGGGTGCGCTCACGCCAGGTGTTTTTGGCAGGGATTCCAGGTGGCAGCCTCTTGGAGGGCCCGCGCTTCTCCGGGACCGACATGGCAGTCCTGGGCGGGGTGCTGGGGGCACTGCTGCTCCTGGCCCTCGTTGGCCTGGCGGTCCTGGTCCACCAGCACTACGGTCAACGGCTCAAGTGCTGCTCTGGCAAAGCTGCGGTGAGGCCCCGGGAGGGCCGGAGAAGGGAAAGGTGGCGGCGGAGCTGGCGGGAGGCGAGGCAGCCAGGACGACGGGGCGGAGGACGGAGGCTCGAAGCTGGGGAGGGGCAGAGGCCGGAGGAGGCCCCGGGTGGGGGCTGGGCCGAGGCGGGGCGGCTGAACCCTGGCCTCCGCCCGTCCCCAGGAGCCCAGCGGCTTTGACAACCAGGCCTTTCTCTCCGACCCCGAGTCCAACTGGGCGCCGGCCCCAAACGTCGAGCGCGGCCCGGAGCCCGTGG